TCCCGATGACAATTTCAGGTTGTTGATCAATACCGCTACCGAGCTATTCCTCATAGCTGCGGAAAATTGAAACTCCAAGACAATTGAAACGTTTGTTCATTCCATCGCTACTAGGTTGGAGGCCATCGCTCTTAGGTCGGAGGCCATTCATTCTCCGATAGTGCATCAATTTGCTTAGGCCGGAGAGGAGTCCAACAGATGTCCTCCACAGGCAGCTTGGCAGACTTTCCTTCTGTAAGTAGGATGCGTTCCACTTCAATGTGTTTTTTGACATATTTTGGTGGGTACTGGGAGTACTGCTGCTAACCCTAACCGAGCCAAAGACTACTGTCCTAGTCATAAATGTCACAACGAGGTGCTTTTCCGTAGACCTACCCCTGCGGGTGTTTTCATAGTGTGTCCCATCCAGGCGGCTTCGGCGGAACGGGAGGCACTTCAACAGGCACCATTTGACACAAAGCTGTCAGTTTGGAAAAGTGAGGAAGCCTTGGCCGAAGCCTCCAGAGATGTGATGAGTCACTCCAGAGATTTTGTGCCAAGGCTTTGGCGCAACAGTGGGAAATGGATCAGGCCCATACGACGGCCTGTGAGCATGGGACGTTTTGGTTTTCCTAGGCTGATGTGTTGCTGATGCTGATCATTGTCTCAAAAGGAGATCGCCAGAGACTATTGGTTTACCTATATATATATATTATAGCGAGATTTTTTTTTGCGCTCTACAACACCTTCTCCCTAAACTAGAATCTAGAAAAAGAGTCCTGTGGCCTTTTGTTTGGTCATTTACACTTCAGCAAAGCCATCTAAACACTTTCAATTGATCAAGGGAGGTAGAGTTCCTGAACAGTCTATCAAATCAAGTACTCCAAGAAAGCTGCTGTTCTCGCCTGGGATGTCACTGCTCGTTGCTACAGTGGACGTAGCAAGATCGCTAGGGCCAGGCCGCTAAGTGTTGATTTGGCAGAGGAGTGAAGGTTTTGCATCATGCTGCGCACTTTATGTCCAGGCCTTTTTCCTCCTATTGATTCATCAGGCCAGGGATGGGAAGCGGTTTGTTCAACGACGTTAGATGATGTTAGGCGAGATCATAGGCTGAGTGGCAGTTAGGATCGTTGGAGCTGCTGATCTCAAGCTTGCCACCGTTCGTTTTTGTCTCAGGCGGCTTGCTGCCCAAAAAGCGCACAGGGCACAAGGCTCCGAGACCTGCATCGACGTTGAGAAATGGATAGAAATGGACATGCTTCGACTTCCTGCCGAAGAAGTGCAAAGTGACCGTGCGTGGCTACGTTGACTCATGTTTTGACACATGGTTGATTCTCATACAAGAACCAGCTACGAAGTCATGTCTGCAGGCAGGTCCTGCTGAGCAAGGCTGGGAGCAACGCCGACGTAGCACGTAGCCGATGACGTGCTACACGTCGTAGGCGGTGTGCCACCGTACCGACTGTCGTAGGTTGTAGGTCCACCGGTTTGACGAGTCAAGGCCGCAGACAATTCGTTCCCCACTTTGTCAGCTCGTGTTTGGAGAGTTCTAGCGTGGGTAGTGCCTAGCAGTTTGGATAGAAGCTACCAGGTGAGAAGTTGCTTTGTGCATGCCGGCAAGTGTGTTTCAGTGGTGAGTTTCGATTGTTTTTGAGGTGTTTGGCAGTGCCTGGTGTTGACATTCGATTCGGGCTTGTAGGATCCAGTACCACAGTGGGATCTGGATCAACAGGCCAGGAGTCCAACTTTGAAGACTTTGAAATCAGAAGCTTTTACAGGGCAAGCCTTGGATGATCTCATTGGAAGAGCGCAAGCGGCGCGGCGCTGCGCGCATGCATGACAGGGCTGATGACCTCCGGCCTTGGCCTGACACCTACACGGCTTGATTTGCCTTGTTGCTCCATATTATGAGTTTCATTGAGTTTCTCATCAGATGTGCCACACGTCTTCAGAAGAATCTTATTTGCGTAGGTTCTTAGTTTCCGGGTCAGTTTCCTGGTCCAGTGTGGATTGGATGTCCTGCAAGCACCCAATCTCAGGAAGTCTCAGTCAAAGCCTCACCCAGCCAAGACCTCAAACCAAGTAATTAAGAGATCAAAACATATGCAAGGCATTGCAAGTCACTGACATCATTGACTAATGACTACCAGGGTAAAGAGCCTTGTGAAAATTACGCGCGATTGGCATGTTTGTCAGATATAACACGCAAGTTCAACGATGTGTTTTCTTTTGACTGGAGAGTGATCAACCGAGGCAGAATGATGGCAACGCGGAATTCTAAGGACACTGAGTTGAAATCCTGATATTCCGTCATGACCGTTTTCCGTCAGCCTCTTAATTCATGTTGCTGTCGTCAGGAAGTCAGGCCACTGAGAGCTGCTGCTGAATCCAGCGCGCTTGTGGCGTATGTTTTTAGAAGCTAGGACGTCGCAAAAGAGGGCAAAGGAGCTAAAGGAACTTGGAAATTGACCAGACATTGAATCTCATCCTGTAAGGCCATGGCATGTTTCAATCCAGTAGGTATTAAATTCATTTGTCCTTTAGCATCATGAGCCTTTGCCTCTTTTACCTGGCTCACTTGACCTGCCGGCAAGGTCGAGCCAGATTAATCGCAGTAGGTGAGCCTCTTTGCAGCTTCGGTGTGATCGATGCTTCGTTTGGAACGAAAGCCTCGAGAGTTTGTTGTGCTTACTTCAGTCAACCCAATGGCTTACAGGTTTCCCATCATGGACACTGTGATTCCCCGAAGTTGCGCACAGAAGAAGACTCTAATAGAGTTGTCCCAAAGAAGGCATGGACCTTTTGTTTCACTTGGCAGCGCAAAGTGCGCCGCTTTCAGTAGGGCCAATGACATGACATTGGCATTGCGCAAACAAAGGCGGAAGCATAGCAGATGTCTCAAGCATTCTTTTGAAACCATTTTGAGATGGTCACAGACAGGCTTTAAGGTGAGAATCGGTCGTCAAAGGCTTCGGTGTTTGGGTCGAAAAGTGCAGCCATTAGCAGCAAACTCAGATGCTGGAAGGAGGGACACAGATGTGCGAGCTAGCGAATTCGCATATCCAAAAGTGAATCCTATTTAGGGGTTCCCAGAATATGTGGGCACATCGCACTGAAGAACCAGAGTCTGAGTCTCAGAAAGAATGGGGGGGTTGAGAACCTAAAAGATTGTTACATATCTAACCAGCTTAGCTTTTTGGGCGAAGCTTGAAACAAGGACTTTGAAAGACGTCAAGAATCATCAAGACACCCAGGGAGTGTCTCATTGCACAGCAAGATGATGGGCCCTCCCATTGCCACGGACTTTCGGCCTTTACGGCCTTTACCTACGTGGAGAACTGGAAGGTGCATGTCGTGTCACGTTTCGTGGCATCTCGTGGGCTTGTGGGCTTCTTAGGGATGCCGCCGAGTTGGGGACACATTTGTTTGCATGGCATTGTCACAGATGGAGAGAAGCAAATGAACAATCAAAGATAATCACAGGTTTGCTGCTTGGATTGTATATGACATTATATATGACATGTTCTTTGTGTCACCATGAAATGCCGCTTGGGCTCTTCAAGTCACTTCGCAACAACGCCGGAGATGAGTCCTTGTGAGACTTGTGTTTGTGTGACATCCACGCCTCGTGTCTCCAAGACACCAAAGTTGTTTTTGGACTTTTTAGAAGGCCGCTCTGCCCCCTTACCTAATAGCGATGGCCTCCAGCCCAGTAGTGCTGCGCCCCTGCAAAGAGAATATGTTTGCAAACAACAGAATGGAATGAGGCCGAAGGTAAAACATGGCGAGTCGATGCTCAACAGAAAGTTTTTTGTGAGTTGAGATTCAACCAGGGCGTTAGACTCGTGCAAGGCAAGACAGGCCTAGAGATGATCGCAGGTGGGGAATGTGGTGTGCGGCATGTGGTGCATCTCCTAAAGTATCTTGACGCTTCGGCTGCTGGCTGTCGTAAGTAGAACAGCATCGCCATGCTCACTTTCACCTTGGCACACTGTTATAGTTATATGTATGGTTTGTTTTTATCATGTTTTAGAATGTAACTATTGCTGATGTTTTCGGGCAACGTGCTAGCGGAACTAGCAGACACTAGGGTATTTGAGGTGTCAACACGGAGTGTCAGAAATATTCAGAAATGCTCGCATCGTATTCAGTTGACATCTAAATATCACAAGAGGAAACTTAAAGACAACTTCCACATAAGGCAAAGCTGCGTGCTTTGGATCTCCACTTGCTGCATTTCGCAGGGCAAAGCTGAGCTTATCGAGCAGCTGCTTGGTCTTTTGCACCGCCAAGGTGTCGAGGGTGACTTTGTCGAGGGTCGAAGTGTGAGATGTTTTCAGCCTTCCGCAGTGAGGCTATGTAGGCGCAAGGACGCTACTAGGGGCTCCTGGCATCGCTACTAGGAGCAAGGACGCTACTAGGGGCTCCTGGCCGTACTATTAGTAACAAGACGCTATTTTTAAACAAAAAATAAATAGAAATAACACAATTTTAAAAAAAGAACGAAATATATAAGTTATATATTAAAGATACGTTAGAATTAAGTTTAACCTGGCCATCATTCGAAGAAAAAATCAGATGTCCTTTGTTGTTTTTTGTAAAGAGAGCATGTTCATTTGGTCAACACGTGCCGCACAGGTGGCTGCCCTGCAGTGTGCCTTAGGCACATTCTCCGTGCCACTCAGCTATTTTGGTCCCACCTGACCACGCCAGGCAGCCTTCGCTGCAAGAGCGAGAGCCGTGCCGAGCGAACCGAGCGCCTGGAGCGACAAGAGCGAGAAGAGCGTCGTGGACGACGTGGTGAAGATGATTCTCGGCGTGACAAGATGACAAAAGAACCGTGCTTTTTTCCGATTGTGGTGTGTTTCAACTGGGGAGGCACAAAAGAAGCATCGTAGGGTGGGCAGGTGGCCGCACACAAGAGCTTCAATGTTCATGTGTTTTGTCGCACACTTGGGAGGAATCCGAAGCCAAGAAGCTTGAAGAACGGATCAAAGCACCTAGAACGGGGACACAACCTGATGTGTAAACGCAAAAGGCAAAGGAGAAATACTGCCAACAAGCTGCCTCAGATCATCATCGCCCTCCGCGAGCGTGGTCTGCGGGAAGTGGAGGTGGCGATCTGACACTCACGATAGTCCACCTTGGTGGCCATGCTTGCAAGCCACAGAGAGGTCATGACATGAAGTGAAATAAATCACTCACTAGTATGTGTATGTTCTGTCCTAAGTAGCATTTTGATTGTGTGCATTGAGCTTCAATAGCATCAAGCAACCTTCTCAACAAGTGGAAAAGGCACAAGGGTTCGTTTTCAAGCATTGGTGGCAGTTGCTAGCGGGCTTGGCTGCTGGACCTGTGGCTGCTTGGGCCTATCCCTACTTGAGGGAGAATGCCGCAGAGCTCATCAATGGAGATCAGCAACCCTGTTTGCATCGCCGAGGTCTTGCCCAGTGCACTATATAACTAAGAGATACTAAGGGTAAAGCAAGATTAAAACATCCAGAGGTTATGGCTTAGAGATGTGTTTGGAATCAAATTGACAACTGGGCCACATGATGTTTGGATGAACTGATTAAATAATGGTTAAATAACGGTTAACTATGGTTTAAATATGGTTAATATGTTTGCAATCGCCGTCTTTAGGCATTCAACCACTTGACGTTCGTTCTTTGGCAAAGTCCAAACGTGGCTTTGTGCAAAGTCTCCGTCGAAGTGAAGTGATCACCAAAACGAGCCCCGAGAAGTGGGAGAGTGACCTCCCTAGTAGTAGATGAGTCTATTCTGATCAGAATAGGGGTGGTCAACCGGTCGGTCCCCCGGTTTTGACTCATGGCCTATCTGAGAAAACAAAAGAATCCAAGAACTTCACACTTTGCGGGTTGGTGCCACCAGAGGCTTCAAAGTTTCTGGTTGCCGCAAAGGACGTTGGCACTGGCATCCTTAGGACGCTTTGCTTGGATTTCCTTGGTCTTTGTGGTGGGGTACCAGAAGCGATGCAAGTCTTCTTCAGGAGCTTCTTAAAGTGGTCCTCAATTCAGAGACATTCATTCACGCTTGACTTGCCATGTTCCTTTTCATAGGCAAAGTGCCAGCTTTGCACACAAGACCCAGTCTTGCTCTCTGAGAGGAGCACTTTGGGCCTTCTTTTTAGTTTTCTTCTCGGCTACACCTCTTCCTTTCTACTGGTACGTCAGGACAGGGATTCAGGAACGAATTGCTGAATTCCTTTCTAGACAGCGCAACACTGAACTCACTCTGTGTGTGGATGGGCTTGTTTCTAGGAGAAGTTCTACGAAGCGATGTATGAGGAGTCGGCAATCCTCACTCAGCTGCTTGAGGAGGTGTGAAAGCAAACTGTTTTCCCTAGATCGATCATACTGTCTTGCGCAGTTTGTGCATCGCTAGTAGTAACAAGTGCCTTACTAGTAGTAACAAGAAGCTACTAGGAACAAGTGCATCGCTACTAGTAACAAGTGCCTTACTAGTAGTAACAAGAAGCTACTAGCAACAAGTGCATCGCTACTAGTAACAAGCTAGTAGTAACAAGAAGCTACTACGAACAAGTGCATCGCTACTAGTAACAAGTGCCTTACTAGTAGTAACAAGAAGCTACTAGGAACAAGTGCATCGCTACTAGTAACAAGTGCCTTACTAGTAGTAACAAGAAGCTACTAGGAACAA